TCCTTATAAATAGGGCACTTCATTTTGTATTGTCATCTTATTCATAAAGTTAAGTTTTCTTATATAATACGAACGATTTCAACAAAAAACAATATTTTCATAAATTGAAAGAGTATAACAAAATGAAAAGCATAACAAAAAAAAAAAATAATTCATGACTAATTATTTGATATCCACTCATTTTTGTTAATAAAAATGTCTAGATGCTTAGATTTAAGCGAACTCATTTTTTCGCTAACTATATGTGCGGCTTTGCTGAACATGCGCTCACTTTCAGTGGACGTTGCAGGAACGCAGAGGTACTTGTATATACATGTCTTAAGGGACTTATCATTTGAGTTTTGTAAATAAAACATTTAATCATTATGAACTTATCAAAGTCGATATTGTTATATAAAGTCTTACCTTCCATTAATCTTGAATCCTTGAATCCAAATTATCCATGTACTGACGAAGAGTCAAAGTGGAGTCAACGCGAGAATTACGAATTCTAAGCGATTTGTTCATTTCCAAAAATTTTAAAAGTGGCTGCGGTTGTGGCTGTGTTGTGAATATTGGTGTTGGCAGGCTTAGTCCAGATGGAGGCGAAAATCTAATCAAGGCGTTGTTGAGTGATGAGAGCTCATTTTCCAGAATTTTTCTGAGTATAAAATGTGGACAATAAACCTTCCTTTTTAAAACGAGGATCTAGTAGCGTTGACACTCGTGTGACTGTTCGCTTCTCATATGCTAATAATCTTTGCCTAACGCCTCCCATTAAGCATTTGCATGCCTCACCGCCTTCAACAGTTTTCAGATTGCCTTTAATGTTTTCCAAATTGTGTAACAGTCCACAAACTACCGGTATAATCATAGAGGCTGTCACTGAAGAGCTGGATGAAGTGTACATCGTTGCGTGTTCAAACGGTGAAAGAACCTGGTTTAATTCCTCCAGGACTAAAACCTCATCGGCAGTTAAAGGCAATAATGCTTTTGGGGTATTGAGAAGTACTTTTCCAATGGCAACATTTGTTAGTAAAATGAGTTCCACCATGTAAAAAGCACTATTCCATCTAGTTGGGCATTCCTGTTTTAAGCTGTAAGGGCATTGCGCTTCTTTAAATTTGGCATAAGCTACAGAGCTGTTCTTAAAAAAAGACACTATACTCTTGTACTTTCCCATTATAGTTTTAATTTTGTCTTGAGATAGGCAGTCTTGTACGGTCAAGTTAATTGAGTGCGCAATGCATGGCAAATGTCTTTTTTGCAGGATCACACATGCTTTTATCATATTCGTGGCGTTATCTGTCACAATGGCTGTTACTTTGTCAAAAACTCGCCATGCAGTAACTCGATATGCTCTCTGCTGAGTGGTTCGTTTCATCAAGCAGTTTTTTGGTTGACAAAACTGCTGTGCGTAACTCAAAGTTTGTCGTTATGAAATGGCAAGTGACCGTAATATAACTTTCGTTAGCTCGTGACGTCCAGCAATCAGTTGTCACAGCACAATGCTCTACATTTTCCAAAACTACGTGCAATTTAGATTTCATCTCATTAAAGAGATTTGGCACACACACATTTGTCAATTTTAAACGAGAAGGTAACTCGTGGAGTGGATCAAGCTTGCCGATGAAATGACGGACCTTTGTTTTCAACTACTGAAAATGGTCGAAAGTCTGAGCTGATGTAGAAGGTCAATGCGGTGTCCAAACTCTTTTTCCTACCTGACGATGCTTCGAATTCGAGCCCAAAGGGGCGAAAACGAGCTCCAAAGTTTGTTTGAAAATTCCGCATTTTTCAACTCGACTTAAAACTTGGTTTCTAAAAAAAGTTGCATACTTGGTTTATTAAATATTTTCTTGGAGACTGAAATTTTGGTGCTTTTTTGGGACATAAGAGGAAACCGCGTCAACAGCCCACAGCCCAAACGGTAAGAGCTACAAAGCTGAAATTTGGGGCAAGTATTCTATCATAGTGTAGGTGCGCACTTTTTGAAAATTCGAGCTCCAAAGTAGGGAAAACGAGCTCCAAAGTTTGTTTGAAAAATCTTCAGCATTCCACCAATCAACTTCAAATTTGGTTTTTATAATCTATAAAAGAATGCAAAAAACTGCAAATGTGTGTTGGAGCTTGATTTATTGGGGTTTTATTATGTATTCACTTTTTCAAATGAAAAGTTTGTGTTATGACTTTCGTCCGATCGAGGTAAAATTTGGGTAATGTAATCTACTTAACTAAGTCTACAACTTTGCGTTCAAGGATTTTCAAAATATGCATTTTACAAATGCAGGCAGAACCAACAATATAAAATATCAAACAGTTTAATTAATTAACATTTCTTGCTCTGTCAGTGCAAGACGAATGAACATACATACATACATAGATGTGTACATATGTATGTTTGTATATGATGTGTTCGAATTGATCTAAATAAATTATAAGATGTTATTATTTAAATTTTCTGTTAATTTCAATTCAAACTTCGATGGAATTATTGATTGTATCGACGGATTCAACTATCGATAGTTTTGATGCTCTATCACATAGAGCATCCGACACATGCGATTTACAAAAGCAGAAACACACCTTTTACATTCACAACAATCATATTTGGAATTGAAGACACAAATTAGTGTTGAATTAAAAAATTTAATACATACTTATATATGTATGTATGAATATAGGCGGATAACGCCTGCAAGAAAAATTTAAATGTATGTACATATCAGCGTTTCCGAACGCTCCAATTTTGGCCGGACGTCCCGATTTATTTGTCCCGCGTCGGACTTTTCGGGGATAACTCGACGCGTACAACGTGCTGAGGAAGCACACAGTTAAGTTTGGACTGGCAGTCCGCCCGGTGCGTAGCGAGATACATATGTACATATGCACTATGTATTTACGTATAACCATACATATGTACATAGTACTTATTGTACCATATTTGATTTTTGAAAGATTCGACGAATGAATTCTTTAAAAAACTTTAGAGACCGTCGAAAGAAGAATATCATATAGTAAGTAAACTTTTAATTATAAGCACATTTTACTTAGCCCAATAAAGACGGGCAAGACCTGCTGTATGTACATACATATAATGAAACAAGTAAAAAACCTAAAGTCGGGTGTCCCGATTTTGAAATACTCTCTTTACAATAATTATAGAAAATAAAAAAAATTAAGAAAATAAAAATAAAATTTGATCGATTTTATCTCTCTCGGTATTCGAACTCACGTAAAGGTTTTATAATTGCACATTTACATAGCAATTGCGTCTGTGTGAGTGTATGTATGCCTATGCGCATCTATTCGTGTCTGTGTAAGCATTTTCGCAGTCCACCAAACTGCAACATCAACAACAGCCGCGGGCAGCGCTTGAGCCGCGCTTGAGCAGCGCTGCAGCAGCAAATATATTTATGCCTATAACTTCTTGTTAAATCGGTCTATCATAGTGAAACTTGACACACGGACACATAATAACCAACTGGGCGTATTTCCAAAATTTTAGTGCGAAATTCCAGGAATTACGGGAGTTACGATGTGCATCGGAGAGGGGGGAGGGAGGGAAATTCCAAAATATACATTTTCTGCGTATTCACATAAGGCATCTGGGACTAAAATTTGGTGTTCCTAGGTCTTATAGTCTCCGAGATATAGGCGATTATACGAATGGAAAATCGGGAAAACCCCCATAGGGGGGATGTGGGGGAAAATCAAAAAAACAAAACAAACTCGTATAGAATACACACATAACGCATCTTTGTCTCTATCTCTTATAGTCTCTGAGATCCAGGTGTTCATACGGACGGACAGACGGACAGACAGACAGACAGGGCTAGAGCGACTCGTCTCGTCATGCTGATCAAGAATATATATACTTTGTGGGGTCTGCCACGCCTCCTTCTGCCTGTTACATTTTTCAGCTCCCGCAAACCTAATATACTTCTGTACATTTCATGTACAGCGTATAAAAATACACTTACACAAATAAGACTGCAGCTGCAAGATTACCTTTGCTATTAGATTCTTTTAAAAACTTCTCGATTTCCAAGCACTGCCAACACCAATATCCATCTATAATATTAGTCATTTTTTATACCCTGTACCCAAAGGGTGAAAGGGTATACTAGTTTTGTGCGCATGTATGTAACAGGCAGAAAGAGGCGTGGCAGACCCCACAAAGTATATATATTTTTGATCAGGATGACAAGACGATTCGATATAGCAATGTCCGTCTGTCTGTCCGTCCGTCTGTCTGTATGAGCGCAAGGATGTCAGTAAGTACAAGAGCTAGGATAACCAAAATTGGTATCAAGGTTCCTATAAGCCCTAGGCTGATCGAGTTTGTTTATTTTTTCTGATCCACCCCACCCCCCCCCCACTTCCCCCCCCCCACCTATTCAAGATTTTCTATAACTCCCGTAATTGGAATTTTGAACTAAAATTTGGTAGTCACAATAGGTTAGTGATTATATATCCGTATACCAAGTTTCATTATGATAGAATGATCGGAAAAAAAGTTATAGCCATATAACCAGGCCCAATGCACACATACATACATATGTACAAGTACACAAACACGCATAAGGCACGATTCTGATGTAAATGTATATGTATGCATGCATGGATTATTTTATATTTAATTTAGTTAATTAATTAAATTTATTTAGTTAATTAATTAAAGTAATTTAATTAAATTAATTAATTAATTTAATTACTTTTTTGTGGGGTGGTACAGGGTATTTAAGAGTTGAGCCTGCTCGACTTTAGCATTCCTTTCTTCTCTGTATTATATTAGGGGTTTTATTCAAAAATGCAAATTATAGCTTTTACTTACCTTTTCCTTTTACTTAGCTTTTCTCGCGATTTTTTTTTTTCAAGTAGTAAAAAACATTGAAAATCGGAAATAAAACATCGATGTTTGAAAAAAATGACAAAACATCGATGTATCGATTTTACATGGATGTTTCGCCCAGCACTACATGTCAGTGTAGGCAGGCTGCTTAGAAAGTGAGGAGTTTACCGCGTGGTGGTCATAATTGGAATTGTATAGATTTCGTAAGAAATTTACGCATTGTGAAATAAAAGCACAAAGTTGTGTCCATTGTGAATAAGAGTTCTTTTGAAATATTTATGCATCTCGCAAGCTGTGATATTGTGTAAAACTGTCTTCCCAAAATATAAAAGAAACATCATGAATAACAGTGCGCAAAAGGTGTCAGTTTATTCAACTAGAAACAACACTGTTGAACATAACAGATCTATTAGTAGTAATGCCGAACATAATCCTGGGGCGGAATCTGAACCAATTACAATCGTATCTCCTTCACGGTCAATTTTGATGTCCAAAAGGAACTTCCTTCATGCCGTTCGCGACAAACTACGTACAACAGGTGGCGCTTGGGATACACAGTCATTTATTATTTCTGAACAGACGCACATAAATGTACAGTCAGTACATCTGCTAAAAGATCGGTATTTGGTCAGCGCTCAATCTAGTCATATCTCAGCGGAATCAGCTGCTAAAACTCCAGCCTCTTATCGCCACCTCATTGATCTCACCTCATCAAATCTGACAGTGTCTGATGTTTTCAGCGGAGAACACTTTCTCTGTAAGATTATTAACGAGCCTCTGCACAAAGTACAACGGGCGTACTTCAACTTACAACAGGATGATGAACTGTATCTCAGTACCATACACGGCCACAAACTGATACGGGGGGTGCACGATCTAGTCCCCTTGTCGAAAGATCGCACCTATATTATTATAAAACCACTGCACGCACACTGCGACTCCGTGGGTAGCACTGCAGGAGCTTATGATAACTTGCATACATATATTCGTCATCAAAAGCGACTATGTGAGGCCGAAGCGCGGTCTTTATTTCATCAAATATGCCAGACGGTCCAAATTTGTCACCGTTATGGTATAATTATTCGCGATCTTAAGCTAAAGCGTTTTTACTTCATTGATGAAGCGAGGCAAGTATCAACTACAAAAAATATTAATTGGGAATATTTTATACTTATAATACATGCACCAAGTACATAGCCAAATGTATATACATATACTTACGTTCGTACTTACATACTATACACAGATATGTATAGTATATCTGCATTGCCTTTATGGTGGTTGCATAGTTTTGCAATTCGATACTAACTGGTTATGGTCAACGCATATGTATAATTGTTGTTTTCCACAATTGTTGATCTTATTGTGCTGGAAGATTTAATTAGCGTACGTCGATACTGACTATTGCGAGTAACATTTGAAAAATTACACAATCATCAATGACAATAATGCAAGATACTTTTAAATATATCTTCATATAAAATGTAAAACTATAAGTTATTCGTCTAAGGCCATTGTGTTTTTGCTAAATGCATATTTATAATTGTTTGCGTTTCGTTGCTTACATCACGCTACAAGTTTGTCTCAGAACAATATGCAGGCAAGGTCGAATATGTATGTATGTACTTATACGTATGTACTTACATACACATACATTTAGACATGTAGACATACAATTTTGTTTTGTCATTTAAAAGATATTTGGGAGAAACTATATAAATTATAGTATTACACTTAACTATAAAAAAAGTTTGTATAGTTCTCGTAACTGTGTAATATACATTGGTATGTATGTACATACATATATTGCGCGTGTAATAGTTAAAAGCAAATATTCTAATAAAATAAGATTTAACGAATAGTAGATTAATGAATACCACATGATATGCAGCTGCATGCTTATTTTTAAAGTATACCCACACACAACTTTCAAGAGTGCATACCATTTTTTTCAAACTTTCAATTCATTTTTGTTATTATTATTATAAGTCTTATATTAACACGTGCTAAGCTTCTTTAACGCTGACAAATCTGATCGACAACATTTGGCCTTAGTCTGATATTCCAGTTGGATTGATTGTAAAACAAGTTACGTTGCTTATTTGTGCTCAGGGTCAGTTCGAGGTCTACAACTTTTTTATTCCATGTATGTATGTATCTATGTGGTTAACTTATTGTGAAACACTACCATGTTTATTGTATTGTTTGGTGTTCATTTTGTTTGTTGTGCTGTTCAGCACTTTGCTGTGTTTTTGCGTTGTTATACGATTTTGATATGTGGGAGACAAAAGGCTGCGATTAATAAAAACAATCGAGCTATTTTGTATCCTACCGTAATTGGCAGTTGAAATTTAATAATTGTGAAATGTAATCTAGGTACCTCATGGAAAGAAGTATAAGTGCATAAGTGTGTGCATGTCTCTCTTCTTTAGTTGTTTCGGTACATTTGATTTTGGTATTATTCTGTTTTTACATGGTAGATTGGTTCCTAAAAAAACGTGTTAAGAAAAACCATTTAAAAAAAGACATTGATCATAGTTGAATAGTGCTAAAGTCGTGTAACCATATATGTATACATTTTTTAATGTTCAAACCGTGTTAAAAAAGACCGTGTAAAAACCGAATTAGGAGTATACTTATGTGGAAGCAGCGATTAGAGTGCTTTTGACGGTTAATGTGCTACAAATCTTATGTCTTTTTATAACATACTAGCGTCCTGCTTCGCACGGGTATTTTTACAAAAATTTTATAAATTATACATTTTATAAGACACACACATACACCCTTCTTTTTGCTATGAGTTACTAAGAAGGAGTAAAATTTATTTTGGATATTATTATTTTAATGATTTTTTGTTCATTTGTAGATTTTATTGTTATTCTTTATTAGGTCAGAGGCTCTCTGTAAAAGATATTTGGTGTTTTATTTTGTGGTAGCAAAATAAATTCAGGAGCTCCGAGCCGTGATAGCTCAACATACAGTAAAACATTGCTTTCGTATGTCGATGCCTAATAATTCGAAGGCTTGGCCTTGGAATTACCGGAAATTGAAGCCATATAAATGATCAAATGGGATCATCGGTATCCTCGTTATATGAGTTGACCAGTTGCTGGGCCGTTGATAATAGTTGCTACACTTAAATTGACCTGCAATTCCTTAATAAGCAGCCTCGTCCCATTGCACATGCTTGGAAGGCTTTTATTTATAAAGCATGGTTTCATGAAAGCATGATTGCAATTCCGAATTTTACCGTCAATTCATGTGGCGGAAGTTCAGAACGGCTTAGTGAATTTAAATGTCTTCAATATTAATCATGGTGTCGATCGATTTGTAATTATACTCTGTACATGAAATGTACAAGAGTATATTAGGTTTGCGGGAGCTGAAAAATGTAACAGGCAGAAGGAGGCGTGGCAGACCCCACAAAGTATATATATTCTTGATCAGCGTGACAAGACGAGTCGATCTAGCCCTGTCTGTCCGTCCGTATGAACTCCTGGATCTCAGAGACTATAAGAGATCGAGACACCAAATTTTGCACAAAGATGCCTTATGTGTGTACGCTATACGAGCTTGTTTTATTTTTTGATTTTCCCCCACATCCCCCCTATGGGGGTTTTCCCGATTTTCCATTCGTATAATCGCCTATATCTCGGAGACTATAAGACCTAGGAACACCAAGATTTAGTCAAAGATGCCTTATGTGAATACGCTGAAAATAATTCTTGGAATTTCGAACTCAAATTTGGGAAATACCCCCAGTGAGTCATTATGTGTCCGTATTCATTATGATAGACTGATTTAAGAAGAAGTTATAGCCACAAATATATTTGTTCTCAAGCGCTGCCCGCAGCAGCTATTGTTGATGTTGCTGTTTGGTTGACTGCAAACATGCTCACACAGACACGAATAGACGCACACAGATATGCATACACTTACATAGACGCAATTGCTTTGTATATGTGCAATTATACACCCTGTACGTGAGTTCGAATACCGAGAGAGGTAAAATAGATCCACATTTTTATACCCTGCACCCAAAAGGTAAAAGGCTATATTAGTTTTGTGCGAATGTATGTAACACACAGAAGGAGGCGTGGCAGACCCCACAAAGTATATATATTATTGATCAGGATGACAAGACAAGTCGATATAGCTATGTCCGTCTGTATGAGCGCAAGGATCTCAGAAGGTACAAGAGCTAGAACTACCGAACTTGGTATCCAGGTTCCCCTAAGCCCTAGGCAGGTCAAGTTTATTTTTATATTCTGATACACCCCACTCCCCCGAAATTCGTGTTTTTTTGTATAACTCCCGTAATTCTTGGAATTTTGAAATCAGTTTTAGTAGTTACGTCCAGTTAGTGCTTATGTGCCCGTATGCCAGTTTCATCATGATAGGTCAATTCTGAAGAAAGTTATAGCCATAAATAAAATCGCTGCCCATGCTCTGCCCGCAGCTGTTATTGTTGTTGCTTATATATACAAGTATATAAACAAGCATAGACAAGTGATGTAAATGTAAAACTGTACATAAAGATGTCTTCTATGTATGTATTAAATAAATGTTCTTAATTAATTTAATAAATTAATTAAATTTTTTTTTAAATATTATATAATATATTAAAATATATGGAGAGTACAGGCTATTTTACTGTCGGGCTTGCTCTGTAGCGTTCTATCTTGTTTTTTCAATAACACTTATAATTATTACAGTCCCTGCTTAGTAGTTTGGTCACACCGCTGCCGTTTTCAAATGAGAAACTGCGATTATAGGCTATAACCATATTTTAAATGGTGATTGTTAGTTTAAAACCATTGTAGATGAATTTAGATCAGCGGTGGGCACGAAATTTTAGTTTGGGAGTCCTACAACAACATCTACAACAAAAACTGCCGTTTGGGTTATGAGAACATCATAAACTGCGAGCAAAAAATGAGGAAAAAACAAGTAAAAAAGCTAAAGTCGGGAGTCCCGACTTTGAAATACTCTGTACATATGTTTACAATAATTATAGAAAATAAACAAGTAAAAAAGCTAAAGTCGGGTATCCCGACTTTGAAATACTCTGTACATATGTTTACAATATTTATAGAAAATAAAAAAAATTAAGAAAATAAAAAAAAATTCAATGATCGATTTTACCTCTCTCGGTATTCGAACTCACGTAAAGGGTGTATAATTGCACATTTACATAGCAATTGCGTCTGTGTGAGTGTATGTATGCCTATGCGCATCTATTCGTATCTGTGTAAGCATTTTCGCAGTCAACCAACCAGCAACATCAACAACAGCCGCGGGCAGCGCTTGAGCAGCGCTGCAGCAGCAAATATATTTATGGCTATAACTTCTTGTTAAATCGGTCTATCATAATGAAATTTGGCATACGGACACATAATAACAAACTGGGGGTATTTGCAAAATTTTAGTTCGAAATTCTAAGAATTACGGGAGTTACGATTTGCGGGGTAGAGGGGGGAGGGAGGGAAATTCCAAAATAAACATTTTCTGCGTATTCACATAAGGCATCTTGAACTAAAATTTGGTGTGCCTAGGTCTTATAGTCTCCGAGATATAAGCGATTATACGAATGGAAAATCGGGAAAACCCCCATAGGGGGGAAGTGGGGGGGGGGGATCAAAAAAATAAAACAAACTCGTATAGAATACACACATAACGCATCTTTGTGCAAAATTTGGTGTCTCTATCTCTTATAGTCTCTGAGATCCAGGTGTTCATACGGACGGACAGACAGACAGACAGACAGGGCTAGATCGACTCGTCTTGTCACGCTGATCAAGAATATATATACTTTGTGGGGTCTGCCACGCCTCCTTCTGCCTGTTACATTTTTCAGCTCCCGCAAAACTAATATACTCTTGTACATTTCATGTACAGAGTATAAAAAAAATTAAGAAAATAAAAAAAACAAGTAAAAAAGCTAAAGTCGGGTGTCCCGACTTTGAAATACTCTGTACATATGTTTACAATAATTATAGAAAATATAAAAATTAAGAAAATAAAAAAAAAAATTTGATCGATTTTACCTCTCTCGGTATTCGAACTCACGTAAAGGGTGTATAATTGCACATTTACATAGCAATTGCGTCTGTGTGAGTGTATGTAT